AAATCCAACAGACCTTTCAGGCCCCTTTGAACACCAACTGCCTTGGAGTGCATCAGTCATCTCAGGCAAAAGTTCACACAGACAGCCTTCGAACACAGAAGTCAACCAAGCCTAGTGAGAACACAGATAGCATTGAGACACAGCATGCCTCTCTGCCCACCAACAACCTTGGAATTAATCAGTCACTTCAGCCTAGTGTGAACATGTACAACCTTTCACAGCTTAAATTTCCTTTTGTGATTTATCCTGTGAAAAATTTGCGTCTGATACAGGTTCCTAAAAATATGGTGCTTTCAACCAATGCAAAAAATGCTGAAAATTCTAGGAGAGAGGCTCAAACCAAAGGTACAACACTGTCCAACCCAGTTCTTTTCAACAGTGATGACAAGGTACCAGCTAAAATTCCTGTTCACCAAAACACAGCTGTTACTATCTCTAAACCAAATGCTATGAAAAAAAACAACCATTGGCAATTCCAAAGTTCTGAACAATGGTATAAGTGTTTTTAGTGCTGTTAGTCTAAATCAGCTAAAAAATATTCAGAATAGTTTACTTCCACAGGATGAAAAGCCAGGTTTCCCAAATTTGGAAACTCGATGGAAACATATGGGAATCGTGACGTCAGTAGTTTCCATATAGTTTCCATTTTATGGAAACCACATAGTGGTTTCCACATAGATTCCCGACATGGAAACAATCAACCTGTGGTTTCCCGTAAGTTTCCCAAGATAGGAAACCATGGAAACATACCCCGGTGGTTTCCACATAGATTCCCGACATGGAAACAATCAACCTGTGGTTTCCCGTAAGTTTCCCAAGATAGGAAACCATGGAAACATGCCGTGGTGGTTTCCATGTAGATTCCCGATATGGAAACAACCAACCTCTGGTTTCCCGTAAGTTTCCCAAGATAGGAAACCATGTAAACATGCCTCGGTGGTTTCCATGCAGATTCCCGACATGGAAGCCACCAATGTGTAGTTTTCCCCATGTTTCCCAGGCAGGGAAACTTTGAAAAGATATCTCAATACTAAACCACCTACCTTTTATTTTACAAAAAGTTAAATATTTGATTATGTTACCATATTTTTACCAATTATAGAAATATTTCAAAAGAGTTTACATGCTGTATCAAAATAATTAACTTCAAACAGTTAAAATAACTAGATGTGTATTTCTGTGTGATTAATTTAATATTTCAGCACCGTGAACGCAATTCAATTTTAATTTGATTTTATTTAACTGAATTTTATTCAATTTGATTTTGAATTTGATTTATCACACAAGTTTTGGTAAACTCGTATAGAATGTGTAAAGTGGAATAGAAAAAAGTAAGTGCATGCCGTTATGTAGAAATCAATCATTTCCGATCCTACTTTCAGGAAGCTGTCAATGATGAATGTTCCCTTGAAAAAATGGAAGAGCTAAGGAAGGGTACATTTAATGAAATTATTTACAGGAAAGGTTTACTAAAAAGATCGATTAAAAAGTAAATAAAGAAATATGTCAAGTTACGATTACTGATTAAGGACAGGTGAGATGTTCCTCAATAAAATAATTAATTTTTTTCCCAATATTTTTCAATTGACATTGAACAATTATTTTTACATAATTACATGTATTCACAAGACATTAAGGTACCTTAACAGGCATTTGTGTTAGATACCAGAGGTTGGCATTTCTTATATACCGGGGTAATCCGTCAGGAAAAAAATCTTCAGTTGGTTTGTCAAAATTACATTTTTAGTGTTTCAAGTTTTTAAATACAAGTTAAGAAAGTGATAAGATTTCGTTTCAATATGAATTAATATATTAATATAAACTGGTCAGATATAGAATCATTCATCGAATTGGCTGGGGGCAGAGTATTATCATACTATTATTTTACTATGAATAGTGAATATTGTTTTTTAATTTATTAAATTGTTATTTTTATTATTGGGGGTGGGTGTATTGCTTTTCATTTTTTCCTTGAGAAGCCCCCCCCCCCCCCAAAAAAAAAACGCTTTTGAAAAAGTCACTATGGTCGGCCTCTGTAATTAGGGACACCTGCCCTCACGTGCCATTTCAGGTGGAGACACGTGCCGCGAAGACACCTGTCACTGTGTATTTTTTGTATATTCTATGTGAATTGAGACGGTTTTGTAGCTAAAGGGAACAATGGGCTGTTGTCGAGCATGTACACACACAGTCTCCGACCGAAAATTCTTTTAAATGATGATTCGTGTTTCTTTTATCATTTAAAAAATTGACGTATATTCCATAAATAAAGTTATAAAAGAAAACATATTTATAAAATAACCTACATTTAAGAAGTTCAATGAAAGAACAAACTATTTAGAATTTTTATTTCAATTCTCATTACTGATTTAAAATAAAACTATCCTCTTTAGAAATTAAATAATTTTTTATAGGTATTGAATAGATCTTAATTCTCGTCGGCGTCGTGTATAATTATATTAAATCAGAATGACGTTTAAAGATCAATGTGAAATCAAAACTGTATTTAATATTGTTGATGGGTTTTTTATGAAAATAGTAATCTAACGTACTACAAAGACATTTATTAGATAAATGTTTATAATATAATTCATCTCATAAAACGTTTTTTTCCTTTTTTGTTTAAATATGTACGCAGATCCCCGTTTAGTAAACGCCTGCACTTTTCGCATGAAATTACGATGTAGGGTCCTAAATGCCCATACATTATATTTAACAAACTTTAAAATTTTCAGTCATTTTTTTTTTCTCTCCAAAGGCCATTGCTCTAGATAAAGAAAAGTCTATAATATTTTGCATGATTTTGTTTTCCTTTAAGAACAATGGCCATTTTTTAAAGTAGTGCATGCTATGGCAATCTATTAAAAAAATTAATTGTATAATTAATTCATTGTATAATTGTCACGATTGTGTTTTTGTGCAGTTTTTGTTGATTTCATTCTATAAAGGTGTGAAGTTTGTCAATACTTCAACAAACATTTCTTTATCTATATTGTACACTACTTTATTTTTATTCGCCGACATGCTACTCTTAAAAAAAAAAAACTTGCGTGACTAATAGACTCGATCTTCAGGCCTGTAGGATAGTAATTTCCGTTAAAGTAATAAACAAACCGGGATTTTACTTTTACTAGCATACCTTACCAGATTTCTTAACGAAAAAAACATTAAAAGAAATACAGGGCGGGACCAGCTAAAGCTGTAGGCATAAGTACAGCCCTGCACATCAACGAGTATCTATAGATGACTTTCGACATAATCTTTCCCATGACTTCACTTATACCAATCACGACTAAAATGCTGAATTAAAATACTGAATGTTATATTTTCCTGCCTTTGATTAGACGTTAGTTTTGTTCCACCTAGAGATATAACTCTCCTAAGAAAAAGGTTTTCAACATTCTGATTCATTTAACAATTTTACGTGCTAAAATGATGTGGGAATTTTTTTTTCAATGTACATGTAGAAAAGTCTAGCAGGTCCACCAGTAATATTGATAGCAGGCTCAAAATCTAATTAAACCCCGAAAAGGAGGGAGTTCAATTAGTATTTTAATCCCCCCCAAAAAAAAACCCCACAATTTATTAGCAATGAATTATTAAACACCGAAATTTTCAATCATCACTATTGAAATAAAACTTGAAGAACTGTTCTTAATAATCATATTATAAATGTAGCTCATTTTCATGCCTTTTAGGAAACCTGTGGAAAGTTTACAATAAAAAATGTGCTTTTAAAATAACATCTTTTGGTGTGACATTATAAATTCATAATCATATGTAACAGTTAAAAGAAGCGGGGAGAGGGGGGGGGGGGTTACTTTCAGCAAGGACGGCCACTACCAAGAACCAAGCCCCGAAACCCATATCCCGAAGGCAAATAAGTTGAGGTGTCAAGCAAGGAATAATTTTTTTCTGCTCTTGCCTCATGTATCTAACCGCTTTTTTTCTAAATATACTAGGCCTACACATCATATCGGCAAAAATATTTAGAAGACCCTCTTTTTATTCCATGAAAGGGGGAAAACTTAATTAAATTCTAATATAAGATCTCATAATCACACTTAATCATAGTGAATGTAAACAGTTTATATTTCCCATCCTGCATCGCTCTGTAGGCGCTTTATTTCATTGGTCAATTTCCCGAGGCGCCATTTTTGGAGGATCGAGAAGGACGAAGAAGAAGATGTAAGCAGCTAGTAAATGTGAAAAGTTAAGATGGTTTCACCACCTAGTGTCTTTAAGACTGTGATTAATGCAATAGCCAACGATGAAGGATTAGTGTACGTATATTTTTGTTAACTTTTTACGGTTAATAGTTGTAAAATTTGGCAACAACAAATCTTCACTATCGGAGGCAACTTTTGTTCTGACGCCATTTTGAAAAGTTGGATACCTAAGTTTTAAACTGTTAAGTGTATATATTGCAGAGAGAAAGAGAGAGAGAGAGAAATTTGAGACAGTGATATAGCATAACTTAGATTATGGAGGCCCCAAAGGCACCGTGCATGTGCTTTACTGTATGTTGTAAAATGGCAACGTTTCGCCTTTTATCATGTTTATTAAAATGTATGCTCCATATGTATGTTCTCTCTCTATATATAAATGAATACTTTTCGGAATTTAAAAAAAAAAAAAACATTTTTAACCCCGCTCAAATTATCCGGATGATAATAGTTACACCGAGCATGGTTTCGTAGTTAAATTTAGACTGAAGAACATCCGGTTTGAATACATGTGTGTTTTCTGACTTTTCGGATAGCCAACTCTTGTTTTCTGGAACTTACGACTTATGGCAAGGTATAAATTAAATATTTTTTGTTCAAAACTTTGACAAAAGCATCGATATTTTTACAAAAAGTGTCTTCAATCTCAGCTTATCCGATTATTCATGAAGGACATCCTCATCAGAACAGTTGGAATAGATTGTAGCGAATAGCATAACCCTTAATCATATGCACAGGGCTTTCAAAAAGATTTGAACCAGGTGGTACTTTATAAAAAATAGGAGGTACTAACAGGCGAACGCCGAAGGCGTGAGCCTGCTAGGGGGGTCCGGGGGCATGCCCCCCCGGAAAAATTTTGAATTTTAGAAGCCACCAGACAGCATTTCCTGGTTTCTAGACACATAAAAGTATGCTGCTATCAGTGTTATTTTATGCCATGTTTCAAAGGGTTTTTTTGGTCAATACACATAACATCTGAAGTTTAGCACTGGATGGGTGGAATTACATAGAGAAATTAGTTATTTGAGCAGAATAACAATAAGATTTAGGTAAAACTTCTGAGTTCTATGCTATATTTGTTTATGTAAATTTGTTCAATAAAATTTTGCAAGGTTTGAGTTGTAAGTGTTTTGTTTTAAAATAAAAAGAAAAAAATGTCAATCATCTTTAATCAACTCATTACTACATATCATCATCACTATAATCACTATCTTCCAAAACCTTTTCATTGTCATTAAATATGGAAGACTCTTCCATACTTTTATCAAGAAAAAAAGCTTTCGCAGCAGCTCTAAGTTCATTTCTGAGATGCTCGTAACTCATAATGTCCCCTGTAATGTCAGTTTGGATAGAAGAGTCTGCTGTTTCAATCTCTACATCTTGTTGTTCTTGTAAAAAGACAGCCTCTGTTGAAGTCTTCTTCATGTTTCCTGGCAACTTCTTTCTACTTTTCTCACTCCTCCACTTTTCTACAGATTTCTCAATAAGATTTTGCTTTTCAAAACATGGGCCATTAATGGAGATGTGCATTAGACACATCAACATGTCTTCTTTTAGAGAACTTCTAAACCTAGTTTTTAATCTTTTTACAACACTAGCTCCTCGCTCCGGCCATGCGTTTGATACTGGGATACTCTGGCATACTTCTGCCAAAAACACCATATGGGGGAAAAAAACTTTGAAGTCCTCTTTTCTCTGTAAAATTCTCTGAAGAACTTCTTGCGTCGGGCTTAATTTCCTTTCGTCTGTTTCTCTGTCTGTCAATGTCATCTCCTTTTTCCACTGTAAAAAGTGATATTTCATTTTTCTCCATTCTGTATTTATCTCTTCTTTTTCTGTTTCATCACATGCAGAAAAAAAATGTTCAGTGAGTGTGATTACATGTTCCTCTCCATAATTTCTGAACTCTCTCTGATCTCTCTCCGGAATTGACAAAGGATTGAAAATATCAAAAGATTTCAAAATGTTCATGCTATCTGAAAATCTCTGTTTGATATTATGGACAAGAGCATCTATGTACTTCTCAAGTAATCTTTTAGCATCTAGAAATTGACTTTCAGATGCTGAGAACAAGTCTCCGAGTTTTCCTCCATTGTTTAAATCTTCTTTTAAAACTTTAAGTGGACTTTCCTCATGTTTGATTTCCTCCAATCTGTCTAATGTGTATGCAATTGATGGTCCAATTCTGCTGAAGTCAATGTTGCCACTTTGAAATGTTTTACTTAACGTGGACAGGATTGGTAAAAAAAATTTCAGAATGTAGACTGAAGATATGAAGGAAAATCCCTTCATCCTTTGTAACAGTCCATATGCTGCTGTGTCCTTCTCCCCTAAAATATTCAGTGTATTTAAAATAGGGATTATATCTTCAAATACGGAATCTATTGAGTTCTGAAAAGATAGCCACCTTGTGGCACAGGCTTTTTTAAGCTTTTTGCTAACGATACGCCTTGCTTGGTCTGAGAGAGTCAAGCTTTTCATTTCTTCTTGAACTTTAATGTAGATAGCTGTTCTCTTTGGAGAATTTTCAAAGTACTTCCATAGCTGCACTAAATACAGATGTGTCTGTCTAATGCTTTTGACTTCTTCTGTGCTGCCAACACAAGCTAATGCAAGTTTATGGCAAATGCAGTGAATGTTAATCAGAGATGGATTCTGTTGTTTGAGCTTTCCAGCCACACCATTCTTGGCAACCATAACTGCTGCTCCATCTGTACATAAACTTCCTAATTTTTTTCTGTCCAAACCGAAGTTATCAATTTTTTCATAAATAATATTCACAATCGTTTCTGCATTGACAGAATCTGAATTTTTCAGTGCATTTTCCACAAAAAGAAATTGTACTTTAGGAAAACCATTACTGTCAACATACTGAGCAAAGCACACACATTGTTCTTTGTTACTGATATCAGTTACATCATCAACCATAATTCCAAAAGTATTGGCTCTTCTTAATTCCACCAAAACATCCTCACACAGAACATCTCCAATAGTTATCATCATTTCCCTTATAGACCCAGCTCCTTGATGATTGAAGTGCTTCATTTTTTCTAACCCCAGTGATTTCATCAAATTTATCAAAGATACAAATTTTCGGTTTGGAAGTTCTTCTTTTGCAATCCAATAAAGACATTGAAAAGCATTTTCGTAAACTTCATTGGCAAACTGTTTTTTATCTGCAATTTCTTTCTCAAATGGGGAGATTCTTTGCACACATTCCTCTAATTCTGCTGCCTTGTGACTCTTTGTTTTCATGTGATCTACAATGGCCTCTTTTCTGAATCTTGTTGCAGCTTTGCTACAAAAAAATTCGTTGGAATTCACAACTTTGTGTTTCCTGCACAATAAGCAATACATTCCCTCACCTTCTACATAAACAAGCCACCATAAGCCAGTTTTTTCACTATATGATGTTTCATAATCACATATCATTTTGTGTTTAAACCTGTGTTTTTCTTTGCTCCATTTCTGTGGGTCCTTTGATGATAAATCACATGTATCTGTGCATAGAGCTGCATGGTGTACATTAGAGTTTGCATTTATTAGAGAAGAATCATTAAAAAGTTCAGAGACCATTTTTTTCTGTTCTTCCAAGGGAAATAATGTATTAGACTGAGTAGCAGTAGTCTTGGATGACCCAGAATCTGCCTCTTTTTCACTTTGAGTGACATTCCCGGATGATTGGGGACAATTTGATCGTGTTTCATCAGCATTACTTGTGGCTGTGTCGTTATTTACATTACAACCTGCAAAAGTTAGAATACACATCTTATTTTTTAGCCACAGCTCAAACATCTAATGAAGTAATAAATTGTATGTACTTCTAAACTTTTTTTTTTGATAAATAACAATTGCCAGTAATTTTTAGGGTCTTATAGATTAATGTACACAAAGAAATTATTGTGTATTAAGCTCTGAGAAAAGAAAATCATTTGGATCTAAATTTACGTGTAAATTCAAATAAATAACTGTGGCTATTATGGTTAGTATTTCTTCGTAATAAAACTTGTATTTAAAAAAATAAAAAAAAAATTGAAAGACTCACCGTTACCGGAACACGTGTTTTAGTCCGAACTTAAAAGTAAACGAAAAAAAAATCAAAATGATAATAAAGATAATACAACTGTTAAACTAGTGAAATAAAATAAAGAATATCTTCAACAAATATCTGTTATTTTAATAAAGGTACCTTGCTTTCTTTTAGGGTTCGGTTGAGCAGTGAAAAAATCAGTAATACTTCTCTTCATACTCGTGTACTCATGATACAACCTGATATCGAAATCTACTTTCGTTTTCGACATGATCGATAAGACGCGTTAAGCAATTACCTTTTGCTTCACTTATTCAAACGCTTTAATGATCTACTTGACTACCCAATCAAAAACGTGATTAGATACGGACCAAAGAATAATACAAAGCTACTACGACTTTTGTGAGTGATGGCATCGTTACGATCGTATTTTCACGCGATTTTTTTTCTCCACTAGATATTTTTGCCGGTACTATTAATGAATCTAACCGGGTAAAAGTACCGGGTACCGGCAGATTTTGAAAGGCCTGTATGCATGACGATGATATGGAAGGAAACATACATTAAAAAAAAGTGAATGTAGGTGAAAGCCTGTCCACTTTTCTGAAGAGATTAGGTTTGTTTTATTGTTTATTGAAATAGTTTACTGCTACGTAGCTAAATGTAGTGATTGTACTGGACCTGTTTGTAATGTCTAACCTGTTGAGATGAAGATGTAAAAAAAGAAAAGCCTAATAGTGAATTAATATTGATAGTATGTCAAGAAATGCAAATGAAACATCAGCTTGAATTATCAGTTTTTTCACAATTATTGACCTGAGTAGGTCAATGTAAAGCGAATAATACATTGCAGGCCTTTCAAAATCTGCCGGTACCCAGTACTTTTACCCGGTTGGATTCATTTTTGGTACCGCCTAAAATATTCAGTGGAGAAAAAAAATTGCATGAAAATACGATAGGCCCTTCCATGCTTTACAAAAGTTGTGGGTTGTATTATTCATAGTCCGTAATGGTATCTAATAACGTTTTTGATTGGTAAGTCAAGAAGAATAAGATCATTAAAGCGTTTGAATAAATGAAACAAAAAAGAGATTGTGTAACGCGTCTTATAGATCTGGTTGAAAACGAAAGTAAATAAATTTCGATATCAAATTCCACCGTCACTGATTTTGACAAAAGCTTATGACTATATTTTTAATAAATACGGCCAAAAAAAAAAAAAAAAATAGGAATTCAGGTGTCGGAAATGAAGGTGTCAATATAAAGCCATGGTAATCAGTTTCACAAAAGATGATAAGATACAAGGAACTAGACCGCGGAAAGTCTTCCAACACAATTGACCGATAGAGACCGACATGAACAGTAGATAGTTCTTTGACCACCTCTGTACATTTTAATAGCATCAACTCTTCAAATTTAAGTGTCAAAATACACAGCTGACAAAATAAATTACTTACAGTCTTAAATATCGGCATACTCCACTAATGAAGTGCTTTCAAATGGCAACAAGGACAATGATTATGTGATCTTGACTGTGACCTGTATGCTAAAAAATTTGCTTTTTTGAACGTTGTTGCTGTGTTTCACAAGCGCATCTTGTTTTTAGCTCTACTGGTCAGAGACCAGAAGAGCTTATGCGATAGTAATGCGTCCGGCGTCTGTCTGTCTGTCTGCAAACACTACTCCTCCTTAAATTTTAGTCTGATTTCAATATAACTTGGCACACAAGTAGACTGTACTAAGATACATCATTCTGTGCATCAGTTTTTGATAAGTACAAACCAGTAGAGCTACAGTCTCGACAGAGACTTCTGGTTATTTTTTCTTCCATCCCGGTTGTTGCTAATGCTATTACATAATTAGTTTAAATTAGAATGCAATAGTACCTGGACATAATTTATCATTTCAGAGAGAAGAAAACTGTGTGACTTTAAAAGAAAACCAGTGAGATAAAATCATAGAAAATGTATGATGATTCAGGATGTGGTCATTTGGTAAGTGGTATTTCATTCATGATTCGTATGTATATGACAATTGCCTGAAAAAAAAAAGGATTCTAAATTTTATTTAAATACTGAACTGTGGTATATCAGCTGTGAGCTACAAGAAGTTTTGTGTAAAAGCTAGGGCCACCCTTAAAAAATTGTTTGTTTGGAATTGCCGCCTGAAGGGTTTCAGACACAGAAGGGAGGGAGGGAAATTATTTTTTTTAAATTGAAGATTTTAATTTTTTGATAAAATCTCAGTAAACAGTAAATACATTTTCTGACTTTTAAAAAAAAGTATCTACCATCAACAAAAAACCTAAGTTAACATAGATCTGACACTGTATTTCAGTGTTTTGTATGGTGCATGTGATAAACATCATGGGCAAATAAATTGATGAAATAAAAAAAATCTTCTTACTTTTGATCAATAAAATTTTTTGAGGAGGGGGCATTTCAATGAGGCGGGAGGCAATTCCAAACAAACTATAATTTTATTTTGGCCTAGGGCTGAAACAATTTGCCCCCCCCTTCATGTTATGTGTGTATTGCTATGATTGAAATACAATCAGTTCTCTAAATAATACATACAAAATAAAACTTTGTCGTCTCGAACCTGAATTATACAGGAAAAAACTCTGAGATCTCTCTAAAAATTTGAATGAAAAAAAGGAAATGCTTATTAAAGTAATATACGCCGTATGGATGCCGATTTGTGCGTGAAACAAAATGATTAAATTGTAATGAAAAAATAATATTTCCACAAAATTTAACTATAAAACTCGTTGTAATACCGGTAACAGAACAATAAAGCAATATCTGCAATCAAGAATTCAGTCTTTTCATGAATATTGAAAAAGGAAGTGCGTAAACAGTAGGTCTAAATATAGACACGTATGTCCATGGGAAATTATAGACGAGGCACGTTGCATTTTGACAACGATTATTATAAAAGAGTATAGATGGTTGATACTGATTACATTTAACGATAAGTTATATTAATAGTAACACGCCATCCATGTCAAAAGTGAGTTGTATCTCAAAGGGCAAACCTCGTTTTCTTGACACCGTGTTTGTTTACCAATCTTAAAGTAGCGATGGCGTCGGTGGATTTACTTAAAAATAGACATTATTCTCCTTGCAGGATAATAAATAATTATAATTTGATAACTTTATAACAAATTTTATTTAAATGGTGTAATTTACAGCATTTTTGTAACTTTTATTGGTAAACAAAATATATAAATTTCCAGCCGTATTTTAAAATGGCGCACGTTATAGCGTATATTACTTTTAATTAACTGATTTCTTGCTCTAAAAACTGCACACTAAAGAGTTCTACTTTAATATCAGGTAGTTTTATGAAGTTAGAGTGATCTGCCCATAGATTAAGATTTATGAAAATGTTATTTCACAGTCAGTTAGATTATTTTTAATAGAATAAATATATTAAATTATTTTTAGCTTTATTTAGAATAAAAAAAAATAGGAAATTAATTATTTTCATAAATTTTTCCAATGTAAGTAAACAGCAATGATTTCTGCTTACAGATGGTCCATTGTCTTTGAAATTTTTTGGGGAAATGAGGCACATACCATATGTTCTAAATGAATAATAAAGGCTCATTATGCACATATTTATATGAAATATGATAGATTTTTTTCTCTCCAAGGAATAGTTTTGGCAGGTCACTAAGTTTTTAGAGTTTCCTTTATTTTAAAGATATTCAATGAAATTATTTGAAGTATTAAATTTTGGTGAATTTTATGATACTAAAAGGTGATATGGATGAAAAAACAGCATGCGTGTATGACAATAGGCCTTAAATTTTTAATGTCTCTTAATTTTTCAGTGACATGAAAACAGGAATTGTCATCACCAATAGACGAATTTCACATTCCTAAGAGTTTTCTCCAATTGTCGGCGTATCACTCATTTTTCCCACTTTGTCCATTGTAAGTTACTTATTAATATTTTCAATCTTCAACAATATTGGACAATTACGATCTGTATCTGTATTGCCAGAGTATGGGGGCAACATGAAAATCATAATGAATATGTTCATACAGATTTTATTTCTAAGATATTGTCCCTCAAAGTTGATATGGTTAAAGAGGGAAAACAGTATCTTAAGCCGGTTGACCCCAGGTCGACCCTGCGAAGGGGAATAACTTTAGTAAATGTGAAAGTCCTTTATGGTATATCATAAAGATCTAAAACTGATTGAATTTTGATCAGCCAATTCATGAACATGATGAATGGATGTAAATAATGTTGGTCAATGGATGTAAAAAAAAATTAAAATTACTTGTTTATATATACATTTGTGGTATCTCTCCCATTGAAGTTTATAAACTTGTTATATATTTCTTAAATAAACTGAGCGTACATGCAATACCGGTATAAAATTACTCATAAGATTCATGTATCCTTAAACCGTGATAAAATCATATGTGTCCAATCATATGTGTCCAATGCCGCATATGATAAATCATTAACATACAAGTACATGTGTATATATACTGTAATATATATATATTGCATTATTTTTAGGTCCTGTTCTGTGGATGCCCTAAGACAGTGTCTACCCATCACTCCATCTGATATCACTTGTTCTGTGCATATCTCTCTCAAACTTAAACTACAGAGAGCCTGTGGATAGAGGGTGAAGAGTGACCTTGGACTAATTTTCTAGGTCAAAGGTCAGTATCAAAATCTACTGTATATCTTTATTTAAAATTGTAGTCCAGAGTATATTTCTCCCTTGGTGTAATCTAGCTTTTGTGCAATGGGGTGGAGGGTCTGCAATGATCTTCAACCAATTTCTAGGTGGAATATCAAAATTAAAAAAAAATCTCTCTCTAATATTTTTGTTATTATAAAGAGTATGTTTTCTCTCAAACTAATCAAACCTAAAGCGGGGTTCTTAGTATGAGTTACATGTAGTAATATATTCTCAATGACTTAATAAGGCTGAAAACATTATTTATATTATGTTATTTTTTTTCACTTATCATCAAGCATAAAATATTAAAAAGATACATTAAATGCTGAAATCATATGTATCATGGTCATGGAAAGTAATTATTTATATTGGTATATTAAAGGTCATTCATTGATCTTTAGGATTTCAAGCATTATAATTTTGACATCATATAATAATTTTGTATGAATATTGCAGATCATAGGTGATGTGAAGAAAACCAGGAAACTGATGTTGAAAGAAGTACTTAATGACCTTTATGAATGGACTTAAATGTGAAAGACTGTTCCATTGTTTATCTAAGATATGTGAATTTATTTAATATTTTGATATCATTGAAAAATTCAGTTACAGTTTTTGTACATCAAATGAATTATTAAACATATAAAATGGTAATGCTTTTTTCTTTTACATGTAATAAATTTTTTTGATAGATTTTTAAAAGAATACGCATTATTTCACATTGCTTCCTTTATAAAAGTTAGGGAATCTTGAAGTTTCCCAGTAATTTCCACCAGGAATGGGACTCTGGATAATTCCACCAAGTTTCCGCCACACGGAAAGTGCTACACAAGTTCCATGTAGTTTCCTGAGTCAAGGAAACTTCAGAAATCATAAGGTTTCACGAGCTTCCATGTAGTTTCCCATTAAAGAAAACCTTAAGATTCCATCAAGTTTCCATTCCACGGAAACCACTACATTCACATTCCATATGGTTTCCTGAGTCGAGGAAACTTTAGGAATCGTGAGATTTCCCGAGCTTCCATGTAGTTTCCCATATAAGGAAACCTAAAGATTCCATCGAGTTTCCATTCCACGGAAACCCCCTACGCTCCGATTCCATATGGTTTCCTGAGTCCAGGAAACTTTAAGAATCGTGAGGTTTCCCAAGCTTCCATGTAGTTTCCCGTAAAAGGAAACCTAAAGATTCCACCAAGTTTCCATTCCACGGAAACCCCCTACGCTCCGATTCCATCAAGCTTCCTGATTCCGGAAACCAGTGGAATCTTCAGGTTTCCCATTACGGGAAACTACATGGATGTTCGGGAAACTTCAGGTTTACAGAGGTTTCCGTGCTTCGGGATACCTTATGGAATCGGAGCGTAGGGTGTTTCCGTGTCACGAAAACTTGGCGGAATAACCTAGCATCCGCTACGGAAACCACTGGGAAACATGATGTAAACTTGAGGTTTCCATGTGGTTTCCATAAAGTTTCCCATGATGGGAAACCAGTTTTTTCACCCAGTGTTCCTAAGCAAGATTTAAATGTCACTGGAGCCTCAATGGTACCCAACAGTCAGGATAGCACCACAAATTATTTCAAGAAAACATTAACAACAAGCAGCTGCTCACCCTCACATGGTACGAAGTGTCAGAACAAAACATTACCTGGGAACACTTCAACTGTAGTACCATCAGATGTAGAGGTTACAGAACAGAGCTTTTCGGTCATCCCTCAACCTATGCAGAAAGGGGATCCACCACCTGTCCCAAACTTGGATCCACCAACAGAATTAAAAACTGAAGTAAAAGTGGAAGAGAGTCCCATTATTATTGATGAGATTCAGTCTTCTGGACCAAGAGGAGAACCTCATGTTGAAAGTAGTCATGTTACGGTACGTATTTTATATCTTTGTACTTAATGTTATGTTTAATACCAACAGTGTATACAGTTAAACCTTGTTATCCCCTTGCAACAAAAAAGCGGCTTTTAAAAAAGAGTTAATTGCTTCAAGTTATGGTTATGTTTTATTGTATAACAAAGGTTAAAATAGCCTTCATCATGTTCATTCCTTTGTAATAGGAGTATGTCTCAAAACACAATTGTCATTAGTGGTTCTAGAATATTTTTAACACTCTCCTATATTTTCACTGTTTGATATAAATTATTTCCCAGGTTCTTATTTTGATATGAGATTCTGCTTGGTCTTATTTCCGAGCCTATTTGTACCTTATTTCAACACCTCATGTCAATTGTAATGAGAACACGGTTTCAAAATTTATTTAACCTTTGTATAGAAAAAAATGGTATGAAAAATAACAATTGTAAATTCCTGCCTTGTGAAAAAAAACCTATTTGGAAAAACCACCCACAACCTAGCGTACGGAAATGCTAGCCCAACCTAGCTGGCGGGAAAGGCCTAGGGAAATTTAGAAAACCCCTTATTTACATTATTTGTGGAAAACCTAACTCCTAACTTTTAGTTTTATGGCCTAATAAATTTAACAGGAGCAATAGACAACGACAATTTTTGTACAAATACCTAATAATATCTTAACATAATTTCTGAGGGTGCAACCTGTTAAATACCTAATAAACCTCTATAAAAGTGAGAGAACTTACAGTTAGTGAATCAATGCTTTTTAAGATTCCCCACTAAACTAGCAGTTACACGGGTTTTTATACTTTTTGGAAACAAAAGAAAATTCAACTTAGAATCCTAGTGGATGCACACGAAGGGTATGAACTTTGACTGATATTAGTGACATCCAAAAGTTAACTTCTGTATAAATAGCCAATCAAAATTTAGATAAACATTAGCCCAAAAGATTTGATGGAAGCAGCATGTGCTTTTCCCTGAGAAGGTTTGTAAACATAAATATAAACAAATGGTATTATGGATAAGGCAGTATACACATAAATGTATGAAAACATTGATAATTACATATTATAT